TCTTTTGACTTTTCTGATTTGGCCAGAAGAACAAGATATCATCTTCTTGAAGACCCACGCCCCATGTGCCGAAATATGGGGTGGGCAACAAGGGACATGATACCGAGAGGCTTGATCGTCATGCTACATACCATTCACCTTGGACTAGCAGTATCTTGAGGTATCGCTAGGATCTAAACTGGGGGTGATAGTGGTCAACGTGGTTTCTGTAGTCTAATGATAAGCTAACGAGACTTAGCAAACAAGCTCATCAACTATACATCTGCTAAGCATTAATGAATCATGGCGAGTGAAACTCGAATCGGACCCTTGACTTTAGCTCAGGATTATCTTGGGCCACTCACAAGTGAACAATTGCCCACGGCGTAACGAAGACATCATGTTTGCTATTTCCAATCACCGTAATGTAGATCCAGAAGTTATGGACCTCAAAGGCTCCTAGCCAGAGCTCCCTTAAGCGCTGAGATGTAGGATTCAAGTCACACATGAAGCTCAATGTTTGACTTCGACATCTCAAACCCAGGCACTTGACTTTATCGTGAAGCAAACCATGTGTTCGGCAGTGTCACTGTTGTCTTTTTCTCTCTTCTTTCGTCTTTTTTTTATAAGGAAAGTGTGACAATTCTCGATCTAGAGTTCCTGGAAAATTGTTTCCAATCCATGTACTTGTTCATTCACTTCTGTGCTGTTTCATGGCAATGCTTCGCGCGAAATTCAAAGCCTCTCTGTTGACACAAATCGAATCGTAAGGTCTAGTTGCTCTTGGTCGGTGCGATGGTGATATGTATACCCCAGGACAAGATTTGGCACCTTTGGCTTGTCTCAGAAATCACACACCGTGTCAGTTCTACATAGAGTACCACTTATCGGCTTGGGCATTGATTGTTGCTCATGATCTCAATGGAAATTGAGATGAAGAGTGACGGGCTTGATGTAAGACGTTTGACCTTTGGTAAGTGCCTGTCCGACAACGTTGATATGCAGCGATTTTGACTGGCTTGAGGCTGTAACCACGAGGCTCGTTCAATTTTCTTGTGGTTGCCTGGTCGTTGTAACATTTCCTTGCTCTTGATTGATAGCCTGAGAAACCTCTGTCAATCGCAAGTCGTAACCCCAACACGCGGCGCTATCAGTGGTTGAGGATCCCGCCAAATACCTATGGGTCCAAGTCTGGTCATGGGTGGGAGTTCAAGCACGGCTGGTGATTATCTTTTAGTTAGATGCCCCCCCAAAGGAGTTGGCGATCCATTGGTAGTAGCCAGTCAAGCCAGTATCTAATTCAATGAACTTGTTAGTCGACGTGGTTGGTGGCTTGGTGCAGGGTCTCGTTGATGTTACACGACTATCATTGGCCCACGGGGCTAAGTGATTGGATCCCTTGCATTTTCGGAAGCCCACCCATGTGAATTTTCGGATAGCGGGAAGCTATACGGATACCTCCCTGAGCACAAGATGAAGCAATAAAGCTGAGGCCTCTTGAATGACAAAAAGATTAGGTAAACTTAGTATAAATAGTATATATTTAGTGGTCCTAATTAGGTACATTTAGCACCTTACTTTGACGTCCGAGGTTTTCTTGTTGTATGGGCTCCTACTCAACTGAGATGAGACATGTGTCGCTTACAGCGAACGCGGGTCGGGGCGGCCATAATACACTTCGATACTGAAAACAGTCTTCCCTTGAACCTGTAACTGAAAGACTAAGGGTTCCCATGAAAGAACGAAGCACAAGATTCGATGGGAACACTTGCGGATTTCACTTTCAATGGGTATCTTATGTTCAGGAATTCTTATAACGTTGCTCTCCGTGGTAAAGCCCCCCCTTGCGATTTCATTCGGATCCATAAACGCCGTACGCCAGCCTGCCATTCTATTAAGTTTGCTCCAGGAGTTTCAATATCCAACACTCACGCGTTTCCCCTAGCGCCGTGATGTCAGCTCAAGAGTGGCTCAGAAGCGTATACTGGGCGAAAACCACCATAGTTCTGCATGTACTCCAGGAAAGTCGTTATTTAGGGTGCCTTTTCAAACAACTTCTGAATCGGTTTGGCAGCCTAGAAAAAGGTTAGTACAAAAGCGAGATCTCGACGAGGAAGATCAGCGTCAAGAAACCTACATCAATGAACTTTTCCAAATCATTATCCAAGTTGGCAAGGTCATCCTTTCTTCTTTTGTTATCCGCAATCAGCTTTTGTTTTCGCTTAAGCAGCTCCTGTCGCTGTTGCTCCAGAGCTTCACGCTCAGACCGTTCGTGATCTATGCGCGCAACCATCAATGTATTCTCGTCATCATTCTCGTGTTCGGGATGTTGGGCAAGGAATTCCTCGACAGGGATAAGAGGCAATTGTTGGTATTTATGGCTGTAAATTGTTAATGACATGCTAAACTCGACCACCAGCTGCAGCTGGAGTCAATGTACAAGGGCTTACTCGTATGATTCGCATGCTGTAATCTCTCCTTGGAGGTGTCGTTGTTCGTAATACAGATTCTGAAGCTGAAGGTGCAGGCGGTCAACTTCTTGACGCGACTCGGCAGTCTGGGACTTGGTATCACGTGCGGAGAAACAGACGTTTCGGTGCAGTCCTCTCAAATGCGCTATGGTCGTGAAAAGGAGCTTTTGCTGCTTGGCGATTTCGGCTTGCGCTTCTGCTGAAGGGAGTCCTTCGCTGTATGATTGTTCACCCAGACTGAGGAGTGCGCCAGCCTGGTCGCGTGCCTGGTCTGAAATCTGCAAGACTGCGCAAAGCCTTGGGTCGGTAACAATTTTATCGATCGCCATGTTCTGTATCCGTGGGTCGTACTTGATGCGAAAGATGTACAAGTAAGTGCAAGGTGTGGGGAAGAATAGCTGGATGGATTCGAGAAGTCACGAACTCGACCCCAGGCTTTTGTTTGTTCCTGGGCTAACAGAAAGGTGGGGCTAGGAATACTGAAAGGGTTTCAATCAAGATCTACCGTGTTTCGGGTCTAACTCAAGGTACAGAGAGATAGTACTCAAAAATAGGCTAATAAGGGATCCTTGCTTTCAAGAAAACAGCCTATCCGGCCTATTCTGCACAGCAAGCTCTTATTAAGGTGAATATTCCTTTAAAGCAGCCTAGGTGAGAAATCCCTTCCCTGCGTAGCCTCTTTAACTAGGAGGTACCTTATGTGTCCTGGTTCAAAATACACATTGGTGACGTAGTTGTTGATTACCTAGCTCCGATCTCTAAAAATCGACGGTATACCGCGGGCGGTCATATCACAAGAAGAGAGCAATTGCGGATACAGCCGTCCTGTCACCTAGGTAATTTAGCAGTGCTGGGTTGCAGAAAAGTGCAAAATTTGGACATCTTCTTACAATGGCGAGTCCTCGGGGCGCAAGAAAACTTCTGATATGTCAAGGTGCCAAAAATATCTAATCTCGGGTCTACTAAATCTAGGTAAACCAAATTATTTTAGCTTGAGCTTATGGCATTCGATCATTGATCCCAACTGCTCATTGACTACTCTGTATGCTCCAGTGTTTTCTCTCTCACATGCTTGCTCGGATTGTTGTCTTTTTAGGCACCTGCGGCAAACCAAGTGACTTTCCAGGATTGACTTCAGCGGTTGCACCGTTCCTCGACGGAAAGTTTCGGTCAGGACATCGGGTCAGTTCGCATTCATTAATTCATTCATTTGATCAACATTTCCAAATCATGGCGAGGTGGATAATAGTTATGACCGATTCCAAGCCTAATAAGCAGGCCATTAGCCAGTGCCACGTTACTGCAAGACAAACGACTCTTGTGGCTTCTGTTGGCTAACTTATTGGATCACCAGACAAGCTCTTATGATATGAGTGGATCCATGCGAGGCCTTGGAACCAAGATCAACGACTGCTGCATTATTAGGTTGTGAAAGGAAACCCGCGCCTAGCTGCCTTGATGCTCGAAATATTCATCTGCTTGTTAGCCACAACTTTTAACATCAATCTCTAAGCACACTGTTGTCCAGGAACAAAGACCAAACGGGAGCGACATCTTAATGCAAGTAGTCAGAGGGTGCATCGGAGGCGTTTTCAAGGTTGGCACCCTATTGGTTCGAGAATGCATCTTACTTGCGCAATCAAAGTCCACAAGCGGGCCGTGGCGAGCTGAGTTACCGGGCTATCTATCTTGTGAAAGTCAAGGGACGGTACCGAGGGGAAGGTCATATGCGCCCATCAAGAATCTGTATGTCCCTCCAAATACCCTTCGTAGTCGTGGATAGGTTTTGCTGGTCATGGAAAGGGACCGAACTTGTCTCTCGATTCTCCCGGTATGTTATGTCTTTGCCTTGTTTAAACGATTAGGTCGTTTTTCAAGTGGCGTTTGTTAGTAACCCAACAAGGACGCCAAGGCCGCCCCCGGTACCGTCATTTCAGCTACCAGTCCTTTTGATTTGACTGCCCAATTTCTCAACCTCTCATTCATCATGCGCTCTCACTCTGTTCATCATTCCTTCACCCTCTGACCCTTCTTTGCTTGTACTTTCATATCCCCACGAACCATACTCTCCTTTCTAAGCCTTCGTATTCTCAACATCATATCATTTCCCCATTTCCAAGCCTTGGCTGCTTCCTTAAACGCAGATCCTTATCCAACTCAGCAAGAATAGGAACAGAGCAGGACTATTTCCGCCAACCAGACTCGGCTATCGTTGTCCCCGCGTGTAAAATACCCGCAGGGTCCGCAAGGGTGCTTCTTTGTTGCACCCAACTTGTTCCGAGACTCCTAATCATTCAATAATAGCCAATTGTGCTCTTCATTTCTTGCTCGTGGCCTCGACAAAGCCTCACGTTAGCCAAGTCGCACAGAAGTTCGAACGCATCATCCACCATCTACCAGCATCATCCACCATCTACCAGCATCATCAGATGCAGAGAGTTTAACCTCGCCGCCACCTCGGTTGCAGCGTCACAGCGCTTGCCGGTTCAGCTTAGCCCAATTGTCGCGATATAATCACCACAATATTCGTCTCAAGTCGCAGCTGCCATCATGTCGGACGTTACCACCGCTATCACAACAGCCTGTGCCTATAAGGCTCGGGAAGGGGAGAGTATAGCAAGTACATCCGGATCCGACATACGACCTGACGTTGAACCCCGAAGACGGCGACACTCCTTCTTCATTCCCAGGAGACGATCCATTGTTGGCCATATCATGGATGGCGAAGAGGGTCTTCTTCTCAAAGTCGACCTTTTCCTCTCGGAACTCGAACGTCGGCTCGACTTCATTGAGAACTATGTTGACTTGAGCAAGGACTCCAGCATCTCTCGTACCTTCTCTACGCTTCAGGCTGTTCGTTCGAGATGTTCCCACGCTTCAGAGGAAGTTCTTGGTGCAGGACGACGCCGTTTACATATTATGGTCGATACTCTAGAGGCAAGATACAAGGAGACCTTAGAGGCCGCCGAGTCGCTGAATGAAAAGGCTCACGTTGGAGTCGATTTGCTCGAAAATATGCTATCTGATTTTGAAACTAGAGCCTACAAATTGCGTGAGCAGGGCTTCGCAAACGCCGCCAACGCTGCCGAGGCTTTCATGGACGAGGGGCGCCGAGTTGCCAACGAAGGAATCGAGCGTGCCATCCAAGCCGCCCTTTCACTGGAGGAGCACATTCAACAAGCTATCGTTCTGGCCAAGGAAGGGCGCCTCCTCTCCTACGATGACCTCCCCTCGCCTTGGCGAAACAACCCTCACATCCACAAGGGTTACCGTTTCACTGAATCCAAACTCGAATGCGTACGCTCAGCCTTCAATCTTTCCAATGAGCTAGTCAACATCTGGTCCCATGCACTGGGTCTCATTTTGGTCCTCGCGATCGCGCTCTATTTCTACCCAAATACTGCCAACTTTACACTCAGCACGAAGTCCGATGTATTTGTCGCGGGCGTCTTTTTTGTTATGGCTTGCCTCACTTTGGTTTGCTCAACGGTTTGGCACACCATGAATGCTGTTGCAGATGTCGATGCCATTTCAATATTTGCCTGCGTGGACTATACTGGGATTTCTCTGTTGATCGCTGCCTCAATCATGACGACTGAATATACAGCCTTCTACTGCGACCCTGTCAGCCGATACATCTACATGGGTTTAACAGCTTTTCTCGGAATTGGCGGCGTCATTCTTCCGTGGCATCCTCGCTTTAATGGTGCTGACATGGCATGGGCGCGAGTCGCTTTTTTTGTTGGCCTTGCCTTGACCGGGTTTATGCCTATGGTTCAGCTTGGCTGGACTCACGGACTCGACTTTGTGTACAACTTCTACTCGCCAATCTCCAAGTCGATGCTCGTGTACTTTACGGGTGCCGTTGTCTACGCCAGTAAGATACCCGAAAGGTGGTTTCCTGGTTGCTTTGACTATGTTGGTGGAAGCCATAACCTCTGGCATGCCGCAGTTCTCGGAGGTATCCTCTTCCACTACTCGGCCATGCAGACCTTCTTTGCCAACGCCTTCCACCGAGCGGAAGCTGGCTGCCCTTCATATTAGATAATTAGGTGGTTCTGGATGTGCCTTCAGTGACCAACCCACAACGGGCTAACAAGTTTATCTGCCCCCCTGGAAGCGTGTCAAGTATTCGGCTGATTCTGTCAAGTCTTACTTTACTTGGCCCACGCCGTTTTGATCTTGCTATGGTTAGTTGCATGCTCTACTAGAGTTGATCTCAGCGCGACCCCTGTGGCAAGACTTGGATGAAGTACCTTTGGGTTGCGACATGAGTTTAGTGCCACTACCTATACGAGGGGTATTGCGCCTGAGACTTGGATGAAACGACTTAATAACTTTGCTAAGACGTGTTGTTCGTCCATGATACGAAAACTTCCCAAACTTGCAGGCATACATGAGTGATAATAGACAAAAGCTATACACTCGGATCGTCTTGATGAAGCTAGAAATTTGAGTGTCATCATGAAAAGCACATGCATGTAAGCCGGCGCTGAGTTTTATTGATAAACGGATTGAATATGATCCAACAGGCATGTGTGGACGACGCAGTACGTTCACGATATGATACGAGGCACGTGTAAATAGACAATAGATAACTAATCGTGTATTCATTCATTCATCCTAGAGCATTCGTCTCTGTCGGAACCCTCTAGTACCCGTTGAAACCTGCTCAAGCCCATATCGAGCATCATTAGAATGCCATGCATCGTTCCATCATACCGCGTTACAATAATCATAAAAAAGCATAAACCAAAAACCATTTTTGGGTTTGGCAACATCGGCTAGAATTAGTGTGTTTGTTGCAAGACCCTGGAACATCTTTATAGGCCCCAGGGAGCAAGAAAACATCCATGGGTCCCTAATATAGGGTCTCAAAATAAACTTAGCGAAGAGTCCCTTAAGCTTAGCCTACATTTACCTACATGTTTTCATCGCTTAGGGTCGAGGTCCTGAGTTTTCTTGCCTCCCCTAGATAGGCTGCTGGGTGAGTTTCGCGACCAGACCCCTGCTCAGTTATGTGGTGCCCTTGTATCGCCCTGAGTGGCTACAGCGCTTGTAAGTCAATACAGAAACCCTGAGATTGTGCCATGTTTAAAGAGCGTGAGAAACGATCTCAGCATAGACATCGTCGGGTATCTTCTTGATAATGCCAATTGTGACGGATTTGACGAGATCAGCGTTAAGCTGGGGAAATGATCTTAAGACCTTATTTGGGCTATTTGGAAATCAGTAATCATTTGAGTCAACCTTTCGCATAATCCTTACCTGGGTGACTGAAGAATTTGAGTCCGCATAATTGTAAGCTGCGCGACGATGCAGACAATATTGAGATGAGGACCATAGGCGAACAAGAAGTCCCAAAGTCGTAGGACCTCGGGAAGCGGTGGTGTACATGCACATAGCGTCAGAACTGAAGGGAAAGCGTAGATCTCAGCTGAAAGGCCCTTAGCAGTAAGGTACATGCTTAGCTTGGGATCAACAATAGCAAGGACCTTATCAACCAGTGCGAGACCACGATGAACGCCGTCCATGGCACCGCGAATATACCCCGGGCATTCTCGAGTCAACAAGGAGTGGAACGCAACGAATGCTTCTGCTTCACTCCGAGCTGCGTATAAAAATGGTGCTGCCAGAACATTCATACCCTGAACATAGGTACCGGGTTCTAGAGTCGCAGCGCCTGTGCCGGATTCAGAGCCCTCGGTCGTAAGTGTTAAGGCCCGCGCACGACTGCGAGCAGTCGGTGATGATGTGCTTGTGCCTGACTGAGAACGACCAGAGACGCTACTACCGCCAGGAAGTGAAGCTCGGCTACTACTAGGGCGGCTTTGGCGTTGTTCCTCACGCGCGTCGTGTAATTTCCATGCAATGGCGTTAAGCAAACGAATCAGACTAGCCTCGCTGACACGGCGGCGGAAGAGAGGATCGGTCGTTAGTGTGCGGAAAGTGTCGTTGCGGATCTTGGAGTAAGCCGGAGAGGCTCCCCGGTGGATGAGGGCGAGGTAGTCATCGGTCGACAGGATAGGAGCGTCTAGGAGGACGAGCCAGACGTATATTCTCAATGTTGACTACCCAAGATCGCTGTTAGTTCATCATGCTGGGAGTACCTGAACAGTCCTCTTACCATGCCATCCTCAGCACTCTTGACACCTTCATCGATGACCTTCCACCGAGCACTCTCCAAAGCGCCCAAGAAATCACCATCTGTTGGGCCTTCGCGGATAATCTGATGAAGAGGCAAATGGCCATGCGAGAATACGGGTTTCTTACTCCCAGCACGCTTGCTAGCTGTGACAACATTCATCTGGTGAATGAGTGGCGGGGTGGCATCGCTATTAGCGCGCCCGCGCTGAGGTGAGCGATTGATATTCTGGGAGAAGCTGGGTGTGCCTGAAGTAGCAGGAGGCGCTTGTGATGGTCTTGTAGGTGAAGCATTGCGCTGGGTGTCGCGGTGGCGCTGCTGGGAGATGAGCGAGGGCGTGCCTTGCTCGCGAGCGCGGGCTCCAAGAGTGTGCGCAGATTGAAGGCGTCGAAGGGCGCGATGAGTCCGCGGCGATGGCGGGGCCTGGAGTTGTGTTGTAGCCGGGGCGGGGAGTGAGGGGATCGCCGATTTGAAAATAGAATTGGAGTTGGATGGTGGCTCCATGGTTGCGATGCTTGAGGAGAGTTTGTCAAACCACGACCATAGGGGTAGGCATGGATGTCAAACGTCAATACATGCGAGAAAGAGCCAGATAGCCGAGTTGATGGGGATATTAATTAGGGCTGATGACGCTGACGGATTTTAGTCGTTCGGAGCGCAGTATTAGATTAACGGGGAGGCTGGAGGCTGAGTTGAAGTATGGTATGAAAGGGACGTGACGTGGATTCGGGGACAATGATGAATCGTGTTGGTTTCGCGTTCTTCAATTAACCTCTACACTACTCCGTAAGACCTATCGAAATCTATCTTGGCTGACCAATGCCACCCGCTGCTCTTATAGCAGGGCATATCAACTTTCAGTCGATACACTCTATTAATCCGATAACTCACAAAGGCTGTTTGGCCCCTGATTGCGGAGTACTCTGGGTGTCTTGGTGTTTGCCAGCCCACGACATTGAGGAATGCACATCATTTATCAAGAGGTTGGGTTTCAGATGTGCTATTTTGAAGCCGGATCAGAGCCGGATGAGCCGATTCGCTGACTTATCAGACACTCATAGGCGGATGTTAATGCAAGCAAGTATTGGGTAGGTGGGTTTGGGTAGTACATACCTACTCGTAAGAAATCATAGTTCGCTATTTGTCTACTAGTATGGATGTATCCTGATTATTTTGATTTTCCACATTATACCTAACAAACTCCGGAGATTAGGTAGGTAGGTAATCTCAAGTAAGAACTCTCAAAGTTGGAAAACCTCAGGCTTCTTGGCTTGTTTTCTGCTTTTATAGCACGACCTCAAGTTCTCTTTCCTTTTACTATATTACTAGTACCTTAGTTATTAAGGTAGGTAGTGCTCGCCAATTAAGAAGATGTCTTGAAAGTCTACGGTATTCGATACATAGGTAGGAAGATAGTTGTGGAGGTAGGTAGGGGCTCTCTTCCAAAGTAAAAGATCTAAGGTGTTTATGTAAGTTTAAGATGTATTTACGGAGTAGTACTACTCCGTACGTAGTAGAGCTTTGAAGTCGGTGCTCTTGCTCTGTCTTACCGACGACTTACCTTAGGTATCACATCAACGAGAAACTGTCATTGCTGAATGCTCGACGATCATCTAGAAAATTCGCTGACTTGACTGTTGCCGCAAATATCGGGATATCACTAGTTGGGTGACATTCTTGGTTTTCTTGGGACTACAGGATCTCAGACGTGGGGTTTGATACACTTATTTTCCTGATCTTGTTACGCTATTACCACGAAGGGGAAAGTAGCGATTGCGACATCGCAAAACACCCATTTTTACGGAGTATATCGTGCTGAATCAAATACTCACAAGCTGACCAAGCGCCACACGACTTTTGCCATTTATTCAGAAAAGGATGGAGAATCCGCTGAACAGAAGCCATGACAACACATTCTGCCCCTCCACATCTTCTCTCCACACAATGCCGATTGCCGATGGCTCGGGGATCACCAGTTTCACCGGCTCATCATGAGTTTTACCACTCTTTAAATACAAGATTGAAACCCTTGCCACACCATAGCACCGGTCTTCTTCGAGTTACAGCTTCCTTACTTTACCTTTTGAAGTTACACAGTTATCCCAGCTAGAACGTATTGTCGGACTTCTGTTTTTGTCTCCCAATTTTGTGAACTCATTATCCCACGTTGCAACCTCCGACGATTATGTCGCCTTACACCCCACGATATTCGTCATCGGCCTAAACTAAGACTCCAGACCACAAGATCAAAGATCAACGCCTTTGCTATTGTCCTATTTGCAAGAAGAACAGTCCTAAGCCACCTACTGACCACCATACGCCTTCTTGAACAACTCAGACCTCCACGCCTCTAAATGAAATTGGTTACCTGCAGCTGGTCCGGTGATCAATGACTGCTTCACTTCAGAGCAGGTTTCATATCAGTAGGATCAAAGCTGACAGACACATACGAGCGATGGCTCTGTCTGAGTTAGCGACCACTTTATATTGAAAAGAAGCTAAAGGGCGAGTTCATCCTTTGCTGTCGTAGTCTGGATCTGCTCTTCACAGAAAACTTTTTTCTTTTCTTTTAGCCTCAGCCGATACGCATGATGCTAGGCCACACAAATCCGTTGGGTACGGGGGTGGCTAACGTTCTGGGCATAAAACTCGAAGACCAAAAACAAGACCTACAAGCCGAGATACCAAGCAGTTCATCCATTGCTTCAGAGCAAAGACACAATTCGTTCTACGAAACTGAACCCACATCGTCGGAATGGATTAAAGAGCAAATCCCGTCCAAGGAGGAGGTTGTTGCATATGGAAACTCGTTATTCCCATTCGCTGCTTGGATCAGCCACTACAACATGCAATGGTTTGCGGGTGATTTGGTCGCTGGTATTACCATAGGTGCTGTAGT